CAATTATGGCAAGGATTAGTGACCTTGGGAGGTGAAGACAATAGTAGGTAGTCTTGCTTGGTCCTTGAATTTAATTGAAATAAGATGCTGATTGAAAGATAGAGATTCTTTATGATGTCAAGGAAATCTGCTCCTCTGCTTACTTTTTAGTTTATTTAAGGAATTGTGAGAAATAGAAAGTCTGGTGGTCCATTTTGAGAATGTAGTATTTAGTCTTATTTGGGATGTAAGATCCAATTGTAGCCATTTTAACTATAGCCCTTCTCTTTGTTGTCCCTGGTTTTAAATTAGCCAGTTACGTAGATTGTAACCTGAGCTCCTCCTATCAGAGCAAGGGGCAGTGCTGGATTAGGGATAAAAACAGGTGGACTGTTTTCCAAATGTGCTTGCTTGCCAGTTTGGTAGTACACCCTTCTGCAGAATCGAAGTTTGCCTTGCTGAGCTACTTCCAAATGCATGTTTGATTCCTTACAGCATCCTGGCATTTCTAACAGAATAGATGTCTCATTTCATCAAAAGTCCTGTTGATAACTAAAACAGTGTTCTAGATACTGAAAAACCAAAGGGAAGGTGCAATCTATGAGGCTAAAATTTATATTAAAGGTTACATGTTTTCTCTAAGGTTGATTTTTAGGAGCTACCCTTAATAAATGTAAACAAAAGTAAAATCAGGAGAGGCTTCTCTCCTCTGTTGTCAGTGTCCATATCCATCTAAGTGGGATACACACTTTCCCTGGGAAAGTGATCACCTGTTTCCCAAATCTGTAGTTTTTTTTTTTTTTTTTTTCTGTGACTCAAGTGCAAGCAAGCAAAGCTCCTGGGATTGCACCCAGAGAAGGTCCCTGGCCAGGTCAGAGGTGGCAGTCTCAAAGGCAGGGCCTGGTATCAAATGGAGCAGAGAAGCTGAACCATTCAGGTGAACAGTTGTCATGTAAGTATAGTGTCAATTTGCTCCAGGGTCTCTGAATTTCACTCTGAAACAAAGAAAAGGGGAAATCTGGCCACTACACTGCATAGCAAGGAAATCATGCCTCAGACCCCAACAAGTGGCTGTCACATCCTGCAGCTGGGTACACGAGGATGGCCCTCCTGGAAGACAACTCTTCAATATCAATAAAAATACATTAAATGTCCAGATATATCAGGGAGGCTGAGGCATATCAGTAGTATGGCAAGTTTGAGGCCATCCTCAGCCACTTAGCGAGACCCTCAGCAACTTAGTGAGATCCTGTCACAAAAACAAAAACCAAAAAACATAAAAAGGGCTAAGGATGTTGCTTAGTGGTTAGATCCCCAGTACCCCCACACACACTAAAAAAAGGTGCACACACAGAGATGCTAACAAAACTTTGCCATTTTCTTATTATGAGGAATTAAAACACTTCTGTGATTCTGATTTTCTGGTTCTATCTCATAGCAGTGCACAAAATGCAATGGTGGGGCACTGTGTGCAGGGAGAGCAGCTGTTTTAGGCCTCCTGACAGCTCCTGAAGTGCCAGGAAGTGGGTTCCCCATGAAGTTGGAGGCCTCTATGAAACTGAGAGCAACTTGTTCATGCTGAAGGGTCACCCCGGCCCGTCTAGCACAGGCTAACTCAGTCAGCACATGTATATTTCCTGCTTTTCCCTCTCCCCAAAGCCTTCCAACATAAAATTTTTTAAACAGTTTCTTCTATCTTCCTTCAAAGCTGGCTTTGAATAAAACCTATTTTCCTACCAATTTGACTCTGAATATTTATTTGTGGAGTGGTGAGCCACGTAGCCTGGACTCTTCTGCCTAGTAACACTCACTTGGGGGATGCTGTCCACAACTGTTGAAAGAAGGGGCAGCCTGAGATGAGGGCCTTTTCCCTCCCCACCTCTTGCTGCCTCACTAAGGTTCTGTCAGCAGGCAGGCCCACCCACACTTCAGGGAAGTGGTCATCAGGGGGCACAGCTGTGCTGAGCTGTGAGCCTCACCACACATTTCTTCTCAGGGCTTCATACACATAAACTACACATGCTACACAATAACACACACACACACACACACACCACACATACATGACACGTACATATATGCCACACAAAACACACTCCCTGCACCTGACACAGAACTTTTTCTCTCAGTGGCAAGGAAGCTCACACCTGAGAGCCTCACCTGAGAGAGAAGAGAGTACTTGAACCTGATACAGTGCACACACCCTTCAGAAGCTGTCTTGCCCAGTGCCAGCAGGAAACCCAGAAGTTCTGGATCAGTCATCAATCCCCTTGACTCCACATCCCTGTGGGCAGGCCCAGCAGAGTCTGGCAAGGGGTGCAACTTTGAAAGGAGTGCGAGGGTCAGGATCCTTGCCTTGACTTTTCCTATGCAGTTGAGGTACTGCCACAGTTGGCAAGGAAGGGCACCTGGTGCCACCTAGAAACTTGAGTGCATCCTATGACAATACCACCCTGCATCAAATTCAAATCAACCTTAGAAAAAGATGTGGAATTTTCCACTGCTCAAGCAAGTCTGTAATTGTGGCACAGCAATCCTGCCCCACCTTGAGGAGCAAAATGCCACCAAAAAACTGCCTATCCTCCAGGCCTCCTCTTTCTCCAGACTTGGTCCCCATCACTGGAGAGCCACCATCCTAACATCTGGTGAAGGCACATAGTCATTCTTCTTCCCCCACCTTCTCTGTGGGTTGTGGCTCTCTCAGTCCCACTTTGAGCATCCCTCCTGGTTATCCAGGCATTATGTTTTTGGCCTCGTGTTCCTCCTTTCAGGTTTCATTTGCCAGTTGCTGCTCCACTTCCAGATGCCAAGCCATCATATACAGTCTTATTTCTCTATGTTCTCCCCTGGGTGACCACTCAGGCATGGGCCATCAATGTTGTCTCTTTGCTGATGATTCCTAAACCCAGTCATCAATTCTCACCTTCTATAATCTCTCCACCTTCTAGGTTCTGCTGTGGCCTGCCTCATAAAACACCCCCACCCTCAGTCTTCCTACACCTATCATTGACCCTCCTATTGAGCTCCCCCTTGGAAGCGAGATGGGATAAGCCCAGCCCTTCTGTCCTCTAAGGGTTTCTCTTTGCTCTTAGCACAACGCAAAGTTCCCTGCCATGATCAACCAGTTCCTGTATGGTCAGTTTGCTATCTGCCTCTCTTACCCACACCTCCAGCTCTAGCCACACTGCCCAGTAAGTTTATTGAGCATACCATGTTCCCTCTCAACTCAGGACCTTTGCATATGTTATGTCCTCTGGCAAGGAAGCTGCATCTCCCTACAGATCTAATTACTCCCCAATTTCAAGTGCAATCCTTCTATAATGATCTCTTCGCTATTCACTCCTCAGTCATTTACATTCTGCTCAAATATCCCTTCTCAAGGAAGCCTGTTTCCATCAGCCCCCTCCTCCCCAGCATGGGACTGGTCCCTATGACATGGGCACTATACCTGTTCTTCTCCTGTGAATGAAGGCAGGCACAGCAGCCCAGGTGGAAGACAGGGCCAGGATGGCGGAGCTCAAAGAGGAATGCAATGATGTCACTGCCTCAAAATCGTGGTGTGTCATCTTCAGGGTCCCAAAAGGGAAAATTCTAAAAAACCTTGGTCACCTGATCCTCCTACACTGCACAGTGCAAAAAAAATTTCTAGAGGAGGCAGAAACATATGGTTGGGCTGGTCGTGTATTTACGTCTACCATGCCACACATACTCTGTACATGGGAACTTTTGGAGTGAGGTACACACACAAACATTCACACCTTCCTGGGTCATTTATTCATGGTGCCACACACCCAGCAGGAGTCTGTTTCCAGTTTTCACTTCGTCCCTATCAGACTCAATTTCTCCATCTAGAAATGTAGTTATTCAGATGCTCCTTTCTTTTGCTAGGGTGCAGTAAGCAAATGGGCAGTGTTTGTAAAGCTCTTGTTTTGAGCCAGGGGTTGTGCAACAGGCACAAACTAAGGGACCGGATGTAAGACAGTGTGAGGCAGACATGTGTCCAGAGAGCTGCCTGCTGTGGGAGAGGAACTGTGTTATGAGGATAACTGGGGACATCTCAGAAGGTTTTCTGGAGGAAGCCACAACTGTGCTAACCTGGCAACAGGCTACAAAAATGCTACAATGCTATAGGACTAAAGCACAATATAAAAGATGTTCTTTCCTAAATGAATTCCTTTGACTGCTCCAGCATTTCTTAGCAGATGCCAGCTCACTTGAGGAGTTATGCATTCTTGTTCCCTTTAGCCACTGGAGCTTGCTTCCTGGCCTTTTACCCCAGGTGCATCTCCATACAAATCTAGTTATTTCCCTACTGCAAATGCAACCCTCTTCTAATGCTCTCTAATCAGTGTTCCTGATATCACCTGATATCCGGATATCATGGCAAATGAACAAATAAAAACATCTGTACCCACAGCAGTCCAACCCCAAACGCAAATATACCACCAAGAAGCTGTCTTCCATTACACACAGGGGGAAATGACTGCCTGCTCTTACACAAAGTTGCAATGAGATTTTGAGCTCATTCTAAAATCAGTACAAGCTAAGGATTTTACAAGCTTCACCATAACACAGAAAACATATCTGGCTTGTGATGCAGCATCTAGCTACAGATCATTCTACATTTCAAATGCAGACATATTGTGAGCAATTTCTATAATACGACGTAGGCAGGAAAAACCTGGGGAAAAATGTGAAACTTGAGAGCATTAAGATGAAGGAAGAGGAGGAAATGAAAAAGGACATTTTGTTCTAAGCCTGCTATTTCATGTGAATCCAAATAAGGGAAATATTCCTTGATCTTCACATTGGAAAAAAATTGATGACATGCAACCTTCCATAATACAAACACATATACTATTTTAATGATCATCCAAAAAATGAAAAAATCACAATGTTCTTCCACGGGTGGGAGAGGAGCAAGGAGAGGCAGCTAACCAAGAAAAAAATGCTCTCCTCAATATTCAGCTCTCTTAGAACAATTCTCTGCACAGAAAGCACATCAAATACCACAACCCTACCTTTTCAGAGGGATTAAACAAAGATCTTTCTTCCTTGTGACCAACACCTTCTTAGGAGAGTCTGTTATCCGTGTAGAAGGAATGTCAGAAACCTCTGGGAGGAAATGTAGCTGCATTTGTATTCTGCTCAGAAGATGTCATCACAGCTCTGTTTACCTTAACTGTGGACCATGATTCAGCCGTGACAACTGTCTTGCATACTGATCAATTTATTTGCAGCAAAATTTCTAGCATTAACTGCTTAGGTTCTGAAAAACTGGTTACTCAGATTTCTTGTGCAGTTGAAGCAGATATACATTTGGAATATCTAGACTGTTATCAAAATGATTCAGTGAGAGACCATAAAGGATGTTCCTAAAATGCTAGCAAGGGAGGGACCCTTCTACTTCAGGATAAAGGGAGAGCAGGCAGTTCCCAAAGGTCCTCCTCGGCATTGGATTTTTTTTTCTTTTTTTGTAATACAATGTGCAGAAAAATCATTAGATTGGGAGTCTGGGGACTCTGCTAGGTTTTAACCAGCTGTGTGGTGCTCTATGAGACATCCCTATCCCACAGACAGGCTGGCCCTGTAGCTCTGCAATTGGGCAGAGGTAGCAGAATTATGAAAGGAATGGCTGCTAGACCCAGGGAGGGAGGGACAGGCCAGGTCCTACCTCCTCCAGATGCCATCTCCATCCTGGACACTGAGCCCTGGCTGTAGGCCTGAGCCCTCCCAGCAGGCAGGCTTTGACAGGGAATAGAAACCAGTCCAAAGGCAGCCCAGAAGAGATACCCTGAGATGGATGGTGTAGGCAGAGCCCTGGCTCCCTGGGTCCCACCATGCACTGAACTGTGCCCTTTTGAAACCACCATATTCCCACTAGTGTACAGTTTCCTTTGCCACCCTGCTAGCTGAAGACCCAGCATCTCTGTGCTGGACTTTGTAGAATGGTGAACAACACACATCCAGCAAGAGGTACCAGAAGCAGGAAGTAAAATGGGGAGGTCATTGTCAAGGTTATGATTCTGGAACAAGGCAATATTCATTCAGCAGGCCTACTCAGTGAGATGAGAGGAATAGAACCATAAGCCTAACCACAATGGGACCCACCCATGAGCTGTCTCACGCTTAAGTCAAATCTAACACCCTAACAACCACAGACTATTAGGGGAAAGCAGGGGTCATCAGCCAAATATAAGAGAGAACATAACACCTGAGCTTGGTGTCTGGGTACAGACTGCCTCTGAAAAAGTTATGGCCTAAGTTATTCCTAAGCCCAAGGAATCAGGGGCCCAGTTAATTAGGAGAGGCCCTGGAAGAAAAAACAAGGGATGGATTGCTGGTGGGAGGGTGTGCAAGGGGTTCAGAGCTCAGATGCTCCAGGTTCAAAAAGACACAGCCCATGGATGGAGAAGGGTTCAAATGTTTATGGAAGAGAACCTGCTAATGAGACAAAATTGCCAGCCTGAATGAGAGCCCTTGAGGGAGAAGGAGAGATAAAACCATCTTCAAGTGCCCAAGAGACCCCCCAGTATAAAAGGGAAGAGGCAGTTTTTGATTACTGCAAAGGCCTCCTCACAATATTTAAGTATATGAAGGGTAAAGGGGAAAAAAAGACTAATCCAGATGCATGTTGACCATACAGATACAGTCTAAAGTTGAACAAAAAACAAATGAATGAATGTGTCTGATGTAAAATGGAAAAACTAATAAATTATGGAATATATATAAAGAGATAAGAACCACTCAGCCATTAAATATCACAATTTCAAAAGAATAGGATTACAAAAAAATGCTAAGGGTAAGTCAGTAGAGCAGGATACAAAATCTGATGCAAACTAATTTGTCAGAAATCCATCAGAGTTTGGTTGCAGCCACCATATTTGCCTAAAACCTATTAGTTGGCCTCAGCTTCTCTGTTATCATTTGGATCTGAAATGTCCATCAAGGTTTAGTCACCAGCCTGTGGCACTATTGGGAAGTGATGGAGCCTTTAGGAAGTGGGGCCTATGAAGAGCAAGTTAGATAGTTGGGGTGTGCTCTTGAAGGGAATATTGGGCCCTATCCCTGCCCTCTCTTTGCTTCCTAGCTGCCATGAGGTAAGCAGCCTCCTCTGCCCCACCCTCCCACCATGATATACTGCCTCGCCACAGGCTCAAGACATCAGGGCCAAGTGACCATGGACTGAAACCATGAACCAAAACAAACCTTCTCTACTTTAAGCTGTTTATTGTAGGTACTTTGCACAGTGAGTGAAAATGGACTGACCTATTTCAGATCTAAATGCCTTGCCTTTGAAAGAATAAACAGTCGAGAGAAGAGGGGAGGGGAGGGGGGATAGTAGAGGATAGGAAAGGCAGCAGAATACAACAGACACTAGTATGGCAATATGTAAATCAATGGATGTGTAACTGATGTGATTCTGCAATCTGTATATGGGGTAAAAATGGGAGTTCATAATCCACTTGAATCAAAGTGTGAAATATGATATATCAAGAACTATGTAATGTTTTGAACAACCAACAATAAAAAATTTTTAAAAAAAGAATAAACAGTCAAATGACTATTTCAACATCATTCTGGCACCCTGAATTTATATACACACGAGTGATGATCATGGACATGCAGGTCACCATTACATCAATAAGTACTGTATTAAACACCAATACTACAAACAACGCATGCCACCTGAACCTATTGTTCATGTCTGAATACTCACTTTCAAATGTAAATATGCATTTTAGATGTACTTGGATTGAAAATCTCCTTATATGGGTGGTATGTTTCTATATTCTCAATCAGATAGTTTGTAAATATAAAAGTATCATTGTAAGAGCAAAATGCACAATAATTGAAAGCCATTAATTTTATGTGCAAAAAAATTATTAAGAACTTTAACAAATATTCAAATATAAAAGGAAATGGGGCAATGAAACAAATATGAGAACACATTAGCTTGCTCCCTTTACAAAGATGTCATATCCTTTCTAAACCAAAACAGTGTATCAAACCAGAAATAATATTACAAAGCAGAGTAAAATACATTATTAGAGTATATAATAACCCAAATCTTTGTGGAATTGTTTGGTATACTAGACTTAATAACAATAAGCAACCTTTAAGATTTAACATTTTTTATTTGTTTCTATTTAGACCACAAATCTTTCCAGCTACAGTCATATTTGAACATTTCATATCTTTACAAGAATGAATTAACAGGCAGCTTTGTCAAGTTTGCTACCTCAAAAATTTAAAGGGGGCAAACACTTCAGAATCACACTGTAACAACTGATGTAAATAATTGTCAACCCAGATATAATTAAGACAACAAACAGAGCAAAGCAAAGAAGAAAATCTTAGGGAAATAAAAAGAACCCCTCACCCTATCTTATTTCCCACCAAACTCAGTTGCAAATGAGTACTTACTTAGTATCACAAGTTGAAGTACACTGAGCACAAAAGCATCAAGCAGGGACAGTGCCTAGACAGAACTGTCTCTGACCCTGAAATCAAACTTTTACAGTGTGACTCCTGGTAAGAAACTACAATCAAATAGTAACAATACCCATTTTTTGTTAAAATGTTAGATTTTCATCCAGTGATGGTAATATTCAGTGTCTGCCTCAATTACAGCCAAACATTGACTTTGGTGCTCTGCCATTAGCGTTATCAAAATGAATTAATCCAGTGCATCTCTAATATATTTTAATATAGAGAATGGTTGTGTGTGTCTGTGTGTGTTTGAGTATGTATGAGAATGTCTGAGTGTGTGTATATGTGTGAGTGTGTGTGTGCCTACACACGTGAGGTGAACACACTAAAAAGGGAACAAAGGTAGTATCTGAATGTTAAGATTATATGATTCATTTTCCTTTATTGCTAAGTTTTTAAAACTTAGAATATAATACTCTCATGATGGGGAAACAATGGAAATGATGTAACTGAAAGTAAATAGCATCCCAAGACATTGGACCCCAAGGCAGGCTGCTTGGAACTAAGGCACAGAGCTGGGGGAGTATCACGGAAGCAGCAGGTCTGACATTGTACAAGTACGTATGCTGGACAAACTTACCCCACAGGGGATGGCGGGAGGGAAGAGAGAAAGATTCAAAGATGGAATATCTACTGAGTTTCAAAGAGGTGCCAGATTTGAGCAGGTTCCTGAGCCCTCACAGCAAGGCTATGGAAGGAGTGACATTATCACCATGCCCAGGTGTGACTGCATTTAGTGTTTTCTGATTAGAACAGTAGAAATGGTGTAAACAATCTGGAATATTCAGGAAGCATTAAAGAATGGGAGCATTAAAGAATGGGAGCATTAAAGAATGGGAGAATGAGGCTAGACAAGTGTATGGATGGGGGTGAGGGGCGATGAGACTACAGAGATGTTGAAGGTGAGTCTCTAGTAAAGAAATACAGAGAAATTAGATGGTTAAGGTGGGGGAAGCCAGCTGTGGTGGCACAGGAGGAGGAGGAGGCAAGAAGATGGCAAATTCAAGGTCAGCCTAGGCAAGAGAGATCTTGTCTCAAAATCAAAAAATAAAATGGGTTGGGGATGTAGCTCAGTGATACAGCTCCACTGGGTTCAATTCCCACACTGGAAAAAAAAAAAAAAACACACACACACACAAGAGATGCTACCATCAGCTTAAAAATCAGGGCAAGGGACAGCAGTGGCCAGAAGACTGCGATTCCTCCTCCTGGGAGCAACCCTGTGACTCTATTTCCCACCTTATGATTTCTCCAGAGAGCAATGGGAGTGAAACCTCATGTCCCTGCACGTCACAGGAAGGAAAGATGAAGCCCACTAGATCAGGGAAGAAAGATAAGTGGCTGTGTGAAAAGTGAACCCACTGGTAAGTATAGAGTTATGGGACCTGAGGTGTCACCAACACAAAGTAGAAGAGACAGTGAGTGGCAGGTCCAGAAGGCTCTGGGGAGGTGACAAATTGGTGGCTGTGGGTGAACACTGTAAGTAATAGACAAGGAGGAGAAGTAGGACTCTGGGATCATGGTTACTGTGGCCTTCTTAATTATCATCCAAAAAAGGAGCCTCTGAAAGAGAATGGGACAAAAATTAAGCCAGAGAGCATGCAGAAACATTAAGCTCAGGCACACAAGGAAACTTCCAGGAAATCCAGGATACATGTCCACTCTTCA